CTGTTCACCGCCCCAGACCCGAGAGGGCCGGTGGAGCCTCTCACCCTTTTCCTGGGAATCTAACAAGAACTGGGAGGGGAAGGAAACCTGAAACAAACGTTTTATCTGGTCTTCTGCCTTACCCAACCGGATGGACAACTTCCAGAAGAATTCTGAAGGGCACTGCGCCCCACTTACGGGGTGGGGTGGGGGGTCCCGCCCCTTCAGGGGGAGCGGGCGAAGGGGCGTCCGATTGTTCGAGGTGTGGACGGGCTGAACACTCAGCCCACAAATAAACAAACTTCCCGGGATTCCTAGAGAGACGCGGCAAGCTGGGACGCACGAGGACCCCCCAGCCTCTCCAAGCCCGCGTCCGGGACAACCGCATCTCTGGGGGTGTCTCACCCGTTTGCAACCGGCTGACCGCGTCCTCCCACGGAGCCCCGGTGCCCAAATCACCTATCGAACATCAACCGACCGAATGCAATTGAAATATTAAAACTCAGCATGGAGAACCCCAAGGGGGCTTTGCGCCGGGTTGCGCGAAGGAAAACCGCGGCCCGGGGCGTTGGGAACCTGCGCTAGGGACGCGCGTCGTGGGGCAGAGTCTCCGCACGGAGCCGCCGGGTTTCTCCGCTCTGGGCAGAGGGAGCCCGGCTCGCCCCGGCCGGCCCGGGGCTCGCTGCATTGTTCCCCGCGTCCCGGAGCGCGGGGGTCCGCTCGTCCAAGGGGTTTCTCTCTCTGGGTAAAAGGGAGCTGGGGTTGGTGGGCTGCAGGCGTCTACGCGCGAGGGGCAAGGGGGACCGAGCAGAGTTGTGCACCGTCCTCCCCAAAGTCCGCAAAACTGTGCACAATGTCGCGGTGAGCGCCCGAGTCCGCGGCGCGCTTGGAGGGTCAGGGTATCGGGACGCCGCTCCTTTTTCCCCCGCAGGCGCTGGGGGCGAGGGCCGGTCCAGTTCTGTAATTCACCCCCCAAAACCTCCATCGGTTATTCTCGATGGCCCCGAAGCTGGAAACACCCTGTTGATTACTAATTATTTGCTTAAATAATAACATCCAGGGGAGGCCCTTTCCATGCCAAACAGGCGCGTTTTCTTTGAATCCATTACACCTGGGCCCTCGCAATTAGGAAATCTAATTATTCGCCTCATCACTCATTAATAAGAAAAATAGTCCCAGGGTCTTTGCTACTTACAGGGTCTTTGGGGAGAGAGAGATTTTACTACATTAATCAATTCACTTTTATATTTCAACTAACTTTTTTTTTTTTTTTGCAAAGGAGCGTCTTTTCTTTTTTTCTTCTTTTTTTTTTTTTTGCTCTGGGCACGCGGGGCCACTAACCAAAATGTGATAATAAAATAAAATTTAATAAGATATAACTCTCTTCTCAAAAAAAAAAAAAAATCTTTTCGCGTTAAGGCTGGAGCTGCGGGAAAGCCTGGCCCCGCGCGGCTGGGTCTTAGAGCCGCCGGATTCCCCTCGCCCTGATTGGGCGCCGACTCCCCACAGCTGCCTCGTCATTGGTCGCGAAGTTCCCGGAGGGGGCGTGGCCGGAGGAAAGTAAAAACTCGCTTTCAGCAAGTCTACTTTTGAAAATTTTCCCAATCCCTAAAAGGGACTTTGCTTCTTTTTTCCGGGCTCGGCGGGGCAGCCAGTCTGGACCCCGGCTTGCTGACCCTCAGGGCTACCGACCTGCCGGGGGGCTTGGAGAGCCGCCGTCCCCCCTCCTGGCACGGACCCCGGGGCCGGCCTCGGTCCGCCGCGCGGGTGGCGCCTCCGCCGCCTCCCCA